AATGTTATTTCTTTGTTTCTTAATTCAAATAAGGTTGAGTGCTGTAATATGTCCAACGGATTGTACAGATTGTGTTTGTCTCCCAATGACATATACGTCGCTTATATAGCCGAAAAGGTTATTTCCAAGAGACCACTACCTAAGGAACAGTCTTATGCATTGTGGCATAAACGGCTTGGTCATATCTCTAAGGATAAAGTAGAAAGGCTGATAAAGACTAACATCATGCCTGCTCTTAAAGATGACCAAGAGACATGTGTAGACTGTTGTAGAGGTAAAATGACCAAGATAAGGAAGAAAACTGCAGTCCGTAGTTCTGACCTGTTGGAGGTCATTCACACTGACATAAGTGGACCCTATACGGCAACTCTGTATAGAAATTTTTATTTCATCACATTTATTGATGACTATTCTCGATATGGGTATCTGTACTTGATTAAAGAAAAGTCTGAGTCTCTTGACAAGTTCAAGATTTTTCGGACTGAAGTCGAGAAACGGTTGGGAAAGGTCATAAAGGTTGTTAGATCTGACCGAGGTGGAGAGTATTATGGCAAGCATGGCGATGCCGGACAGCTTAAGAGGCCATTTGCCAAATACTTAGAGGATTCTGGGATAGTGGCTCAGTTTACTATGCCTAGGAGTCTTGAGCAAAATGGTGTAGCCGAAAGGCGCAATCACACCCTTATGAAATTGGTGAGGAGTATGATTAGTAGGACAAATTTACCTGGTTTTCTGTGAGGTGAAGCTTTGAAAATAGATTTGTACATTCTGAATCGTGTACCTACTAAAGCTGTTCCATTGACTCCTTTTGAGTTATGGACTGGATGTAAGCCTAGCTTAAATCATCTTAAGGTTTGGGGATGTCCTGCAGAAGCGAAGTTATATAATCCAACATTAAGTAAGTTGGACTCTAGAACCACTCGGTGTTACTTTGTATCTTACCCGGATCATTCGAAGGGATATCGGTTCTATAATCCCAATGGAGGCACAAGAATTGTGGAATCACAGACAGCGAAGTTTCTGGAGTTTGATGTGGCCGAAGAAAGTAGCTGCTCACAGACTATTGAGGATAATAGTACGGTGGGTAATGTTGTATCTTTATTTCCTCCCATATAGATAATTGTGGAGACTCCCGCACCACAGACTGAACCTGTTGAGGCTCAGGATCCTGTTGTCGAGACAACTCCTAATGAATTTCCTCAAGGCTCTCAGGTGCAGGATGAGGCTGTTGCTGCTCCAGTAAGGAGATCCATTAGGGAGAGACGATCAGCTATACCACCGGACTATTTAGTCTATATAGGAGAGCAAGACTACGATATCAGTTCTGTGGCTGATCCAGTGACTTATGCAAAAGATGTTTCTTGTCCTTAGTCGGAACTGTGATTGGATGCAATGAGAGATGAAATGCAGTCTATGAAGCATAATGGTGTTTGGGAACTTATTGAATTACCTGAAGGTCATAGACCCATTGGCTGCAAATGGGTGTATAAGACTAAAAGGGACTCCAAAGGAAAGATTGAGAAGTTTAAAGCCAGACTGGTAGCCAAGGGTTTCACTCAGAGAGAATGAGTAGACTATGAAGCAACTTTTTCTCCAGTCTCTTCTAAAGATTCTTTCAGAGTGATCATGGCATTCGTAGCTCATTTCGATATGGAGTTACACCAGATGGATGTTAAAACTGCCTTTCTCAATGGAGACCTTAATGAAGAAGTCTATATGATGCAACCCGAAGGCTTTGCGGCAGATGATTCAGGTACGCTTGTATGTGGACTAAAAAAGTCTATTTATGGTCTCAAGCAAGCTTCTAGACAATGGTACTTGAAGTTTCATAGTGTTGTCGCTTCATTTGGTTTTGTTGAGAACAAAGTAGATCAGTGTATATACTGCAAGGTCAGTGGGAGGAAATTCATTTTCCTTATACTCTATGTGGATGATATCCTGCTTGCGAGCAGTGACCTTGGTTTACTGCATGAGACAAAGCGGATGTTGTCAAAGAACTTTGATATGAAGGACCTTGGTGAGGCGTCTTTTGTCCTTGGCATTGAGATTCATAGGAATCGTTCTCGCCGACTATTGGGTTTATCTCAGAGGGCATATGTTGATCGTATCTTAGAAAGATTCAACATGCAGCAATGCAAGCTCGGAATTGCTCCTGTCATTAAGGGTGATAAGTTGAGTCTGTCACAATGTCCTCATTCAGATTTTGAGAAAGCCCAGATGAAGAATGTACCTTATGCTAGTGCACTTGAGAGTATTATGTATGCTCAAGTATGTACTAGACCAGATATTATTTTTGCAACAGGATTTCTAGGCAGGTATCAGTCAAATCCAGGACACGATCATTGGGTTGCTGCCAAGAAGGTTTTGAGATACTTAAAGAGGAAAAAAGACTATATGCTGATTTACAAATATGTTCAGGACCTACAGCTGGTTGGGTATTCGGATTCGGACTTTACTGGCTGTCGGGATGAAAAGAAGTCGACAACGAGTTACATCTTTAAGTTAGCAGGAGGTGCAGTATTATGGAAAAGTGAGAAATAGAAATCAATGACATCCTCTACCATGCAAGCGGAGTTTGTAGTATACTTTTCGGCCGCTACTCAGGCAATTTGGCTCCGGAACCTCATTAAGGAGTTGACTGTATTTGATTTTGTGGATAGGCCCATACAGTTGTATTGTGACAATAACTCTGCAGTGTTGTTTGTTAACAACAACAGAGGTCTCAAGGGGTCTAAGCATTTAGAGGTCAAGTACCTGACTATAAAGGAAAAAAATTCAGAATGGTGACATTGCAGTAGAGCACATTTCAATAGATGATATGATTGCAGATCCACTAACTAAATGCCTTCGCCCTTGTGTATTTGATCGACATGTCATTAACATGGGCTTAGGAGTATCATGGGATACTGTTAATTAGTGGGAGTTGTTTTGTTTTATGTTGCTCTTATGAAGTTTGTATCTGATTTTGTTACATTTTGTAATATTTGAATATGTATCAACTCTTTTGCATTCAATGAGGTATTTGTGAATGTAGATTTATCAAGTTGAGTATACATATTTGATGAAAATCTCGAGGCATTGTGTGAACCTTGAGTACAGGCTATGGGGCATTCGTGGTATTAGCCTTAACAATATGTCTTGGTACACATAAAGTACAGTTAACTATCAAGGTAAGACATATGAAGGTTCGTTGGAACCATGAAGGATATTCTCTGGTGACACACTAGGTTTTGTGACACTTAAGGAGAGAGAATTTGGACTAACAAAATGGACAACACATGAAGTATCACTCATTATGAGGTATTGTCCATTTGACACACTACCATATTGAATCCATATCAGTAAAGTTGAAAGCACTTGTGACCATGGAAGGCTTTGCGTGAGTACATGCAGTTACCGCCATGATTCGGTGTTTGAGACTTTATGGGATCGGATTGATTATTAAGAATAATCTCTAGACCAATATAAGGGTGCGCACACAGTTCTGTTTCAATTAATATCGCCCAAGTGGGAGAATGTAAGAATTTCCTAATGTGGGCTTCATTAATTGAAATTAACTGAATTAGTTTGATCTAATAAAGGTAAGATATATGGGTTCTTAATAAGTCTAATATGGGGCTGGCTGGTGTGGGTTGAATACGGCCCGGCCCGTAATGAAAGAGCCCGTGGTCGAAGACTCTATAAATAGCGCTCAAGTCCCTCCCCTAACCGGAGGATACACAATCTGACTCATATACGGATCTAGAGAGAACTTTCTTCTCATGAGTGGCAATCTCATTAGGCCAGTGTTCTAATGAAGGGTATAGGGGAGAAGCACTTGAGTTCGTGTTCGGAAACCGTCACAAATTCCGCGTCAAGTTCGATGGATTCCAAACCAGGTACGCGAATCGATAATTTCTCCATTAACGTGTTTCGGTTTTTGATTATGGTGATCCTGGGCGTGTCATTTTCGTGGCCAACATACACATCAATTAGAGAACATATAACATTAACTAACGATGAAATTTGAATATCAAATCTTTGGCAAGTAGGGAAACGTTTCGCTTTTTTTACTTATATGTGAATATTTCATTGAGAAAACATCACATTGGCCAAGAGAAGATAAATAAAGTAATGATTTTCCTTCCAAATTCATTGAAGTATTCTGTGTGAGATTTTTTTTTTTGGTCAGAATTCTGTGTGAGATTCGGGTGGGAATGAATTAATCAATTAACTTATGGATGGAGATCTAAAATTTGATACTCTTTTATAAATCCTGTTTTAGAATGTTCAACTCAAAATCATATAATCAAATAGTCAAATAGTCGAAAGTGCTGACTATAGAAGCAAAAATTTATGAACATAAATTAATCATTAATTTAATCAAAATCATATAATCAAATAGTATTATGAAGCAACTAGAAGCATAATGAGGGTTGACCACACAATTTCTCGATGGAAATCTATTTCAATTATCCTTTTTCATAAATTAATCCCGTTAAACGTCACACGGAATAAAATCATTGAGACTATTTAAATAGATTTTACGGTGGGACTCACATAATCAAATAGTTCAAACAAGCATTGTACTGCATGATCTATCAATATTTTTTATTTCATGAAATAGTTATCCTACTACTTCAGTTTAAGCGAGTAATGTTATTTAAATAAGTGATTCATTACTCTAGTCCTGTCAACTAAATGATAATACAAGCCTTTTTGACGATCCAAAGAACGAACCTCGATTATGAACATACAGTAGTTGCACAGTCAAAAAATCGATTCATGAGATAAATCTTTTCCATTCCTATCCTCTCCCATGCATAAATTCGATCAAATGCGGGTGGATTGTTAGCTCTAATGAAATGATGTGCAAAACCAAATTGTCCAAAAATTGAAGCACAAAAAATCGATTCGAATGAAATCTATGGCCTTATGTAAATAACTTAAAAGGTTCGGGTGTCTTCTTCGATGTAGGTGAACATTTCAATTTATGAACATTCATCGAGTAAGTATAGTCGAAAGTGCTGACGTGCACGTAAAAAAAACATTGTAGGACTATTAGTCGTATATAATCTGTATGCTGAACAAATATAGTTGCTACAGATTTTGCTCAGAAAATCCTGCAAAATAGAAAATACCAAGAGGGAAAAAAAAAAGATTAAGAAATACACATTCCTCACATACCAATACTATCTCAAGATTTACGGACTTTCGCATGGCCTTTACACAATGATGATCAACTCAAAACCCTAAGAAGACAACATGACGAGCAATTACTGTTTCCAACTATGTAACTACAGAAAATCATCCTCCGTCATTCTCTTGAGATCTTCGACGAAGCCTGCCATATTCGCCACCGCTCTCGAGCTCGCCTTTGCCGGCATCATCCTCTCCTTCAGCTTCGCCAACCTCACCCCCATCTCGCCGTCCTCCATGACCCGCCTCACTCCGTCCTCGACCTCCCTCTCCCCGAACCCTCCCAGCCTCACCCCGACCCGCCAAGCCTCGACGATGTATTGGCAGTTCACAAACTGGTCCCCCGCCACGGGCCAGCACAGCATCCGCTGCCCACACTGCACCGCCTCCACTGTTGAGTTCCACCCGCAATGCGTCAAGTAGCACCCGACCACGCGGTCCCGCAGGACTTCCACCTGCGGGGCCCACGACACGACCCTGCCCCGGCTGCGGACCCTCTCCAGGAAGCCATGTGGCAAGCCCTCGCGCCAGGATGGACCGAGCACCCACAGGAAGGGCCGCTGTGTCGACTCGAGAGAGAGGGCGAGGCTGGCGACTTTGTCGCATCCGATGGGACTGACCCAACTGCCGAACGAGACATAGATCACCGAGTGCGGTTCTTGATTCTTCAACCAGGTCAGGCAGGTGGTGTCTTCTTCCCAGAAGCTAGGGTTCTTGGTCAAGGGGGACGGGTTGGTCAGCGGCCCGATCGGGACAATCGTCGGGTAGTCTCGGGAGCACTGGATCTTAGCTTCGTCTTCCTCCTCGGGGAAGGAGTTGACCAGGAGCCATCGGAGAGATGCCGACCGGTGTAGAGTCCGAGTCCAGAACCGGAATCTTGCTTTCCGGGCGTTGACCGGCCCGATCAGCCACGGCAGGTCTTGGGTGGTCAACGAGGGGTGTTGCCGTACTTCGCTTTCCTTCTGGGGTATTCCTGCAAATTATTTTGCACATTTGCATGTGAGAATCAACGCCAGAAATACAAGGTACTCGTTCAACGTGGTCACACGTCGCAAATTCAATGAGTCGGATGACATGCAGACTTTGGTAATTCTCAAGTTATGTCACATCACAAAACAATCACAATCACATTCGAGACGAGGATTTGTAAATCATCTTCGTTTAGGTCTTCAAGAAGGATTGCAAAATCATCATGCACGTGGTGTCGTAGTCTTCAAGAGATGGTCCAAAAGGACCGGTTTCGTTTACTTTCTAGGGTCGCCCGCTGATTTCTAAAACCAGGTTTATTCGAAAAATTATCATTTCGAAAAAAGAGGCGAATTCGATCGGACATCGAACATGTGCCGATACCGATCTATCATCAAAAAGTTCTTGTATCAAGCAACGCGTGCAGCGATGCGGAACACCACATTAGTGATACATAGAGATAATATAAATAATCTCGGACTGTCCAAAATACAAGAATATATTCGTGTTAAGGTATATGAATGTGGGTTTCATTGACGGGACAGAGGGCATATTATGAAGGGGGCTCAACGTGTGTGACATTCCTCTGTCGCAATTTATTGTTTTAAATGCATCGAAAATAACTATTTCCTTTCACAGCCAATTGGTATGTAAAAGGCTAGTAGGCAACGTGATTGGAGCGTACGTGGGAGAAATCGATTTCCTGACAATTCCATGATTAATTTTTGTCAAGTGTTAAATGGTGTTGACCCTGGAAACAATCTTGCTCATTTGAGATGGTAGGCATGTGCGCCTTTTATTTCTTTGGAAAAAGTCAATTGTGCTAACTTAAAGTTTAGTAGAATGCAACGTTTCTGGAATATATATATATAATTGTCATGTTACCTTATTCGGGTGTGAGACAAATTTATTTTTGACCCGGTAGTATATAGTACAAATAGATATGTGAAATTAGATAAAATGGATTAATTTGATTTTCTTCTTGGGTCTTTGTGGCTATAACAAGACTATAATTTTAGTCGATGGAAGAGCATATTAAAATACAGTTCTCAATATATATTTAGCAGTGATTTTTCCTCAATTTTTCAGGAATTAGCCTCGTAATAATATGAGTGGGCGTTATTTGAGAATGAAGGATCTGGATTATTCTCCATTAACCTAACTCAATTATGTAAAGATGGGCTCGTGAAATCATATACAGGACCAAATATTGCTTAAGAAGTGAAATAAAACGACTTGGAACAAAGCAGAGTGCATGATGGACTGAAACGAGGAGCGATCGAGACTCACCACTATCGGAAATGTGACCTTCTCGGACCAATTCCGGGATGGCTGCAACCAGCTTGTAGGTCGTGAGCATGGCGGGCCAGAACCCCGCGGTCGGGACCCCGCACCGGTTCCCCACCTCGATCGCGAACGAGGCCAGCAAGTCGACCACCATCAGCGCCACTCCGTCGTCCGCCACGTCGAGCTCGCCCACGAGCCGCTCGAGGTGGGCCGGCATGATGTCCTCCATGGCCTTCTCGACGGAGAAGAAGTCACAGGGCACGCCGTCGCCGGTGCCCGAGCCGTCGGGGATCGGCACGATGGCGATCCCACCCGCCGCCGTCATCCGGTCGACCGCAGGAGAGATCCGGTGGTGGATGAATTCCGGGGTGACGAGCACCGGATCGAAGCCGTGGGAGTGGAGGGTTGAAGCTAGTTTGAGCATGGGAGTGACGTGGCCTTGCGCTGGATAGGGGACTAATATCACCTTTGGCCTCCTTGCACAGGGCTTCATCTCTCTCTCTCTCTCTCTCTGTAGATTTACGGGGTTTGTATGTACGTATGTATGTCATGAAGCACAGTTATCTATATAGTTCAATTAAAGGCGCATGGGCCCCGAGAGAGAGAGAGAGAGAACAGAGCATGTGGAAATAAGATGGCCACCACCGGCCATCTTCAAAGGGGACTTTTGTAGTGTTTTTTGTTTTGGCCTTTTCTTCTGTACAAGTGGTGTTTTACTGTTTTATAAGAATGAGAAGTTGCACACACGTCGTCATAGCGCTACACATTTACAATTCACAACTTGCGACCTGCACGCGTAGTTCATATAATAACCATGGAAGAGGGAAACCGCTTCATGTTTAATGTCCAAAGAACATATGTCATGTTATTACGTACAGATTGTAAGATTACAACACGTTTTCGGCGACCATCGTATCCTTTGTGTCTTAGACAATTCAGCCGTCGATGACAACCTCACTTCCATAAATCAACGACTGAGATTTAGTAAAAACACTGAAAGGGAGTACCCATGGGTTAGACGATGCACATCCCGCGTATAAATCTTGAAAATGCTTGTAGGCATATAGATAGAATCTGTGCTTAAAGTGACGCATTGTGTTGGAGGTATGATCCTAGTAGTAACTAGAATCTTATTCGCCATCAAACTATAAATATAAGTAACTCCGATTCAAGTTGTTAGGTAAAGCATTTCTCGATCCTCGAGTTTATCCATAAAAATCCGTGGGAAAAGGCTTAGAAAGATTGCGCGGTATTATTGTAATTTAAGCAAGAAATCTCCCCCTTCGAAAGGGATTCTAAAGGACGTGAAGTTGTCGGCTCCCTCTAGATACTTATGAGAGATAGCGCTTCATGAGCTTTTTTAAGGTCATTTAGTTGCATGTGAGCTCATCATATCCGACCCGTTTATAACGATCCATCTCACACAGGACCGATATGATCTGATGGTCGAGATGCAACGAACTCAAACACACACGAACACACCAAAAAGAAGCCTCGCGCTTTTCCACGTGTGTGCGTTGGCTCTATTAGGAAGCGAAAGTCAAAATATCACGGCGTCTGAAAAAAGCCACGCCTGCCCTTGTAGCGACTGTCCCTTTGGAAGGTACTTAGAAGAATTTGATGTTAGGTCGATGGTCACTAGTGCACTTAGTGACGCGAGCGGGAGGGTGATGATTTTCCACGTGGAGATATTTCTATTGGAAGCCACAACTTGTCGTCCTTTTGGCCAGCCAATATCATGAATGGGTGTGCCGCTTTTTAGGGCGAAACGTGCTTTGTTAGCTCGAAAGTTGCAAACGTGCTTTTCCACAAGTTCATGAATAAGGGAGCAGAGCAGTGTTGACTTGGGATGGGATACTTCTTTCTTTTGCCAGGCTTGGAGAACGATAGCTCAGTGAATAGTGTTAGGGATCCATATGAATAATGGGTTTTACATAATTAGACGATCAAGTGATAATATTTAAATAAACGAGATGTGTAAAGCACTTTGTCCAGTCACTTTATCAATTAACTTTACAAAGTTTTGTAGCTCGAGCATACCTTCGGCATTCATCAACTTATGAAATGGGTTTTTGATGCTCTTATATCGTGATATCAATTAGGGGTGATCGACTTCTGGTATAAAAGTCGGGAATCGAACCTACGACTCGCGGTTCCAAATTTTCGAAATCAGAAATTGAACTGATCAGTGCGCGGTTCTACTCAAAAAGTGGCTTGCTTTTTTTTATTTTGTGTAAAAGAAATTCTTTCCTTTTAATAAATATAAAACTGCATCATCTCACTTCCAAAAGCATATGTTAATCAAGTGGTTATGTTATTGTTTATTCATGCTAAAGATCTGGTTCAATTCTCGGTATATGCAAAAGTAATTCTTTTCAAAGAAGCTCCTAAACTGGTTTCCGAGTGGAATCGGGAAACGAACCTGTCCTAGGTGGGTTCGAGGTTCATAACTGGGAACCCAATCGATTCTCTCTTGAGCCGATCTTGAACCAGTAGGTCAAGGCCGATTTGGTTTAGCTCTCAAGTCGAATTGGATCCGATCCTTAATATTCGCCGGGACCATGATGCTCCAGTTTTTAGATGGTAAATTGGTGCCTTAAATGTCCTCCACACTAGGCTGTCCAAGGAATTTTTAAAAAAAAATAAAGTAATTAATTTCCTTCCATTTCATCCATTGAATATTTATTCGATGAGAAATTCGTGTGGAAATAAGTTAATCACTTATAAGATGGAGATCTAAATTTTTATCCTTTTAATCACCATTTGCCTAGATTAGAAACAAAGTGGGTCCCCTAGGTGGTGGGATTGGGGCATATTGTACGGCTATCATTGCGTTAGGAGTCGCAGACCCCGGCGTTCTACAAACGTGAGGTATTTATTATATGCGTGGTTCGAGGACGTTGCTTGAAGCATAAAAGAGAAACTGAGTGGTCAACACTTATTTAATTGCGTCACAAGAGGCTCATTTTGCGTCATGTGATGCATCAGCCACATGTATTTTTGACTTGGGAGAAAATTGTTTCGGTCAACATGTATTATGCATCTTCTAGTCGTTTCGTAATATAAATGGTTAATATAATGAAAAACTCAACATGATACATTCGCAAAAAATTTATCCCAAACTAATTTTTGCGTTGCCAAAAATCCCAAACCGATATACTCATCACAAATTTACTCCAAACTAATTTTTGAGTCACCAAACATTCCAAACCGATATACTCATGATATATTTACCCTCCATTAACTTATGTAAAATTTACCGTGAAATTGTTGAGCTGAATAACATATGACAATAACTCAATTGATCTAGTAAGTCCATGTGGAAATCCTTTTTAGTTTGGGGTAAATTAAGTGTACCAGTTTGAGGTTTTTGGTGATTCAAAAATTAGTTTGGGATAAATTTATGATATGTGTACTAGTTTGGACTTTTTCGTGATATTAACCCTAATATATATCTAATTTACATTTAATAAAAATACAGATGTGCATGTGCACTCCCTAAGAGTTTGTTTGATGAAAAGCTATTTCCCCAAAATTGTTTTTAGCATTTCTAAAGTTTGAATGATGGTGAACTAGTCAATCGACGAAAGCGTTTTCCAGGAATTAAAAACAAGAAGTTTAGATTGGGGAAACGACTTCTTCTTCTAGCAAGAGGAAATCATTTTCCCTAGTTCTTATTGTGCGTCCAAATGAGAAGAATAGATCCTTTTATATCTATTTCCTATCTCTCATCAGTTTATTTTTTTCAACAAGTCTCATCTGTTATTTTATTATAAATCCCTTTTGCTATCTCCTAAATATACTTCATTAATGCTCATGTTCTTCTACACTTATAATTCTTATTATTTTAATGGATTACATAATAAACAAATATGTTTGATTTTAGTTTGTTAGTCATTACGGGTCATTTTTAATAATACAAGCTGCATTTAGTGAATTTACTTGTAATCAAGTGCCATAAAACCAATTCTTTCGACACGTTTTCAACGCAAACAAACACCAGAAAATGGTTTACTTTCTCTAAAATTGAATTTCTTGAAAATATTTTTTAGAGACAAAAAGGCTTTGGTGAAACAAACAAACCCTAAAATTGAATTAACATAAAAGCTAAAAGGCTTTCAATTGTGTTATTTATACTATTGTAAGAATAATCAATGCATACATGTCACAATTATTTTCGATGCAATTTTCGGGTTGAGCCAAAAAAAATTACAGGGTTGACGTCATAAATATTGCAAAAACTACCTTTTTCTTTCGTCATAAATGTTTCTGCAAAGGTCACAGCTCCCATGCTTTCTTCTTGTCTCTTCCACGTCTAAAATTAGTTTAATTTGTGATTCTGTAAAAATAATTAACCAATGCAATATACCAGCCTACTCAAATCTTAAACAAACGGAAGCGTAAAATGACTAACTAAGTTTAAGAGCTTGCTTGGGCCAAATGAATGCACAATGTCAAACTTCCTTGCTTATGGGAATTGGGGCTGGGCTACCAATATCAGTTGACGGTAATTTTGGAGAAACCCATCGGCGTGGCCAATGGGCGACGGCCTGTAAAACGGCGGAGGACCCCTCTTTAATGGCTGAGCGCACACCCGTTGGCCATTACGAAGTATTGGAGCTGTTCAGGGACCGCCCATTGGAGCTCCGCCGTGGTTCAATATTGCCCTTTTTGTGTTTGGGAATGCACTTTGCAACTCCTCTTGATTGTTGATTCGGCCACTGCACACAACCTTTCTTTCAATTGTACTTTCAGGCTAGGCCCCTAATTGAAAATGGACTTGTTCATCGAAGACCACAAATGCCAACACCCCCACAACTTCGAGGCCCAATTGGAGGATCGTTCGTTTAAGCCCAGATAGCCGATCATTGATAGGTCAAGAAATAACCATCCCCTCAAATCACAGCACGAATGAAATTAACAAGGAGTGGCATCTGATATTCAATAAAGTGCTAATCATTTTGGTTTGCGCAATCAAAATCTTAATCTTTCAGTCAGTCTGATCCCCTCGAGTGATGTTACCAAACAAAAAGGTCACTAGCTATATTTATCAAAAGAGACCTAAACTTATTGCATTTTTGCCAATTTTGGTCCTCGATATTTCAATTTAACCAATTGAGTCCTAAACTTTTTGACAATTTGCCAATTGAGTCTTTCGGGCCAAATTTGATCCGAAATTGCTGATGTGAATTCCCGTCATCCTATGTGGCACAACCGGCATCCACATGGACTTTTTTTGTAATACTTGAAATAATTAAATTTATTATTATTTTTCTTTTTTCTCTTTGCTTTTATTTTTTCCATTGCCCAGATTGGGTGAGGGCACCTCGCCTGCTGCTAGCAGGGTGCGAAGGACCTTGCCCAGGTCTGACAAGGGCCTTCGCGCCCAAGGCCTTCATGGGCCCGCTGGCCACGGCGAGGTGGCCCTTGCCCAGATCTGGCGAGGGCCTTGCTAGCGGCCTAGTGGCTAGCAAGGGTCTTTGGCCATAAAGAAAAAGAAAATAAAAATATTATTACAAATGTTTACGTCAG